GATGAGGAAAGAATTCACTGGTTGATATCTCACATTATTGTTTGGTTACACATATTTCATACTCGATTATAATTATACATCCAGGATCATTTTTCCCTACCATACTAAAAGCTCTATGAGTACAGTAGATTTTGAACAATTTTTTTTTGAAAGAAAAGATTTTTTAAATGTTCAGCCTCACAAATGTAATACCAGTTTTCCTTAGCCAAATTAGCCAAGATTGTTTTACTATTTTTAAAATCTCAGTGCAGGCAAAGTTGTAATGAAATAGTCTCATGAATGGCTTTGGAGATGTAAATTGATACAAGCTTTCTAGAAAGAAAATTGTAACACCTATAAGAATTGTACATGTTTTTCATGTCTGTAATGGTTAAAAGAGCATGTTCTGGAGTCAGTGTGTATATGGTGTGTGTGAGCAAATGCCTTAACCTCTGAGTTTCAGTTTCCACATCTTTAAAATGGGGATTAAGCAATGTCTATTTCATCTTTCCAAATAAGATTATGTATAATAATTAGTATAGTGCTTGATATATATTCAGAGATCAATAAATGTAAGGTATAATAATAATAACATGAATTGTCTTTTGACATTGTCTTTTAGGAAATACAACTGCCCCTTAAACAACATGGGTTTGAACTGCATGGGTCCACTTAAATGTGGATTTTTTTTTCATTAAATATACAGTCAGCCCTCCATATCCCTGGGTTTTGCATACATGGCTGGGAATTCGAGGATGTAGAGGGCTGACTGTATGTATTGTTCTGTGCCATTTTATAGAAGGGACTTGAGCATCCTCAGATTTTGGTATCTACGAGGGGTCCTGGAACCAATCCCTGCAGATCCTGAGGAATGACTGTAGTTCAGTCAAAACTTATACACAGATTTTTTATTTCAGAGGGGATGATACCTCTAACCTCGCTGCATTATTCAAAGGTCAGCTATAACCTAAAATGTACAAAGGTCTTATCATGGCTTTAATGATAGAGGTGGACAAATTGGAAGTAAATGTCCAAACTATAAGAAAAATGGCAGTTTTTATTAGTCAATGCTGAAATATAATGCAGTCCCTAAAAATGATGTTTACAAAGAATCCCTAATGACGTGTGGAAATGCTGATGGTACTAAGGAAAAAAGATGGTAATGGTATTGATTTTAAAAAGAGACAACATTTAATATTATCTCATTTATGTAAAATCTATATATGTAAAATTATATAGAAAAAGAAGAAAAATGTCAATGATTGTATTTCATCTGAAAAGCCAACTTAGGGTGATTTTTAGCTTTGTAAAAGCATTCTTCACATTCTCTTCTGTGACTCACTTTGTAGTCAGAAAAACAAAACTTCAGGGTCCCCGTTTGATCCCCATGCAGCCCCTCTCCTGTGTGGAAGATCGCAGTGGAGCCCTGGGCTTGAGCCTGAAGCTTGCTTGCCGGTGGTGCCGGTGGGGCTGACAACGTGTAGCTGTCATGCCTGAGCTTTGTAGTCTTGCCCTCGGGAGCCATACTTTCCTGATTGTAAGTCAGAACGCTGGTATTAATCATCAAGCCACTGTTGCTCTGGTTTTTGGCTCCTTTCTGTGTACATCATTACTCATTTTGAGCTCTCCGAAGGAATTCTCTCCTACAAAGAGATTTTGAGTTCAAACCTCTCAAGACAAAGATGTTTCTTAGGTTTTAGGAATTTATTTTTCTTTTCTGGTTGGTTTAATAAGAGCCAGTCAACCTTCAGATTGTCTTCAGAGTATACTAACTGAAGTGATCTTTTGTCGGGGGCTCATGTGTGATAGAGTTAGTACAGGAGGTTTGCATGAATATGTTAACAGGAGACCCACTCAGATGCTTGTTTTGGAGTAGATGTATTCAAAGGATCTGGTGTTCAGTATGACTTTTTAAACCACAGATGAATGAATAAGGAATAATATAAGTGGGGGGAAAAAAAGAATCAGAGAGTCCAACTTTCCAAACTTGGGTAGTTACAGTCTTGTGCTTAAGGTAAAACTATAAACTAATTTGGATTAATGTGATGCTTTGGGCAACTGCTGTTGGTTGTTTTATATTTTCAGGTATCATTTATTGATTTCTCCTTGCCCTGGGTACTCACTTCATCATGCAATGTGATATGCCTGGTGATTGCTCTGATACCTTCTTAAGACTTAACATGGAGCCATGAAAGAAGCAGAGGTCTTGAGACTTGGAGTCTTTGCAACTCTTGAGCCTTTTCCACTGGCTTCTGGTAGCTGTATACCAAACTATGATGTAAATAGCTATGCCTGGTTTAAGACCACCAGCAAATGAGACTCATTTATGGAATCTCTACATTTGTCAGGTAGTCAGAGGCAGAGACCAAGGACCCAGCCAAGAGGAGTCCCAGGACAAAACATGCTAATTGGCAGTGGGGTCTAGGAGGAGGGTGTCCCAAAGTGGCCTATGTTGCAGAGATTTCAGATAGATTAGGAATTAGAGGAGACCATTAGAAATGGCCATTAACATGCAGTAAGAGACATTTTCAAGGGCAACACCACAGTAGAATTGTGGAGGGTGAAGGCAAATTATAGTGAGGTGTGGAATTAGGGTGACAAGGAAGTTGGGTGGTGAAGGGATGGCAAGAGATAAGGTGTTTATAGATAAAACCTTTTTTGGGGGTAGATGATGTAGAACAGTTTGGAGGTTGAAGTCAAGGAGAGTAAAGAGAGATGGGGGAAAATGCAATAATGTTTAAATAATGTTAAAAATTGGTTCAAGAATGTGGGTGAAGGAATTAGCCATTTTGTCCTGTGAGAGGAGAAATGAAATAAAAATGGGTAAAGATAGATTTTTTTGAGGTTGACAGGGAGGAATTGAAGGTGCTCATGCTTGATAGGCTGAGTGAAGTAGAAGAAGAAATAACCTGGGAGGAGGTGTAAGGGTGGGCAGGGTGAAGGTGGTGCCTGGAGAAGAATCGTAAAAGTTTAAAAGCAGCTGCCCCTGAGAGTGGGAAGGAGTGCCTATTAGCTAGCTCTAGCTTCCTTTAGAAGTAATTACTATACATTACACTCCTTATTTTAACAGCTTCTAGAGATCCTTAAGATAAGACAAATCCATAAATATTTATTTATTGTACCCAAAAAATACCCCAGAGATCTGCTTACTTTCTCTTCAAAGCATCCCCTTGGTGATTATTCTTTTTCGTTTCTCTAATTGCATACTAGAGAAAGCTTCAGTTGGGTGCAACTAGTTTTTAGACCTCTGAGCAGCTGCAGATCTTGTTGACGCATGCCTGAGCCCAGAACTCCCTGTAAGCAGCACTGGCTTTAAAGAGTAAGAGGCCATGACTTTTCAGATAATGGCGCCTTAAATCAGTAATGTTTCCTGGGTGTCCAATCCTAACCTGTACCCACTCATTAAGGCAATTACAAAACAGTCCTCCTCCATTTGCTCCAGCAACTTTCGAAGCTTTGCAAATCTCCCCTTTGCCCACGTGGGACTATGTTCCTGGCACTGTGAAAAGGGTCGAGTAAAAGAGAACAAAAAGGTTGACGTTGTGTGAGAACCATACACTAAATCAGGAGGAATAGTCTCCTTGTCATATTCCTCTAGATAGAGTCATCATTTCCTTTATAATTCACTGAAGGGCTATCATGAGGATTAATTTGGCTCCTAGGATATCCAGAATTGTTCCAAATATTGACAAAAGGCTGCCTGCAATTTGAAACTCACAAAGTTCAGAAAAAGGTCAGGAGCTGTTGGTTTGTGTGCCGCTAGAGGAGTTAGCAATTTTGAGAAGGACACTTTTGGTTCCACTGCTGGAGTGGCCATAAAGCCCTCATCTCATGTGGATGAGTGGGTGCTAGGTGTGGGACTGAGAGCTGCTGCTTGTGCAGCGAATGTTTCTAGAATTTATATGATCAGCAGTTTAAAAAGTGTGTCGCCGTTAAGGGTATAGAGAAAAGGAACTGTTTGTTAACAGATTTCGTGGGGCAGGCAATCTGTTCAATGACATGATATTTTTAGCCTAAACATGGTTAGAAATCACAACCTCTAGCTAAAAGACTTTGAGATAAAACAAGACATATCTGGTCCCTGGCTGGGGCATTAGCACGTGCAAACAGTGCTGTGACTCCCACAGAGGAAGATGGAAAGGGCTTATAACCAGAATGCCTCATTTCCTAGGTCTTTACTCCTTTTTCATTTTGATGGGTAATTCAGGATTTGTGGGTTTTCTTTCACCTTTGGGATGGAGGATGGTACATGGGACTCAAAGGGTAATTACCACTTAAAGCAAGACAGAGGACGTTTTCACCTAAATGGGAGCGGAACACAATCAAGTTCTTTAATTAAAGGATGACTATTATATGGATGGAAACAAGAGATAGTGCTGGCCACACCAGAGAATTTGTCTTATAGTTTCAATCACAACTGGAACAACAGAGCTTCTGTGAGCTATTTATCGGCTCATGAAAATGAATTTCCAACTCATAACTCTTCCTCATAAGTTTTCCTCTAGTTAAAAATGAAAGTTTGCTACCAACTCAACCCAATTATCTACTAATCCCAATCCCTCCATACCAACTCCTAAGACTTGTTGACTGAATCTAGAAGACCAAATTTGTGAGAAGGAGCACCGCTCAGGAGCCCTGGGAAGGGGGCATGCTGTGCTCAAGTTCTCCGAGCTCTTGGAAATGGTAATAGTATTGATGGTACTGTTTCTGTGAGTCTGACAGTTCTCGCTATGCCCCTAGCAAGGATCTATCACCTGCTGCCCTAGTACTTGAAGGTTGTTCAATTGGAAAAAGATGAAAACTCAATTGCTATCCTGGGCCTGGCCATTTGCTAAAAACCTCAAACACACAGTTTGTACAGGTCCCAAGCCCCTGCTTTACTGCCATGTGTTACCTGTGGGGTGCTCCGGCTGTCTGTTCAGTGATAGTGGTAACTGCAATTCCATTTTCCCTTTGGTGTAGTGGTGAAACTTGACGCTCATATTTTCGGTGCCTTCTCTGTGTCCTCCTTCCCCCTCCAGACTGCCATCCTCTGTGCCAGCACTGTGCAGCTGATCTCCACCACACTGGGAGTGTCTGCCTGAGGTGCCAGAATGCCCGCTACCTGCTGCTGGGGAACTACTGTGTTCCCGATTGCCCTTCAGGGTACTATGCAGAGAATGGAGCTTGTCAAAGTAAGTGCTGGACACAGGAGCTGGTGGCGCCTCGTGAGCTTCTCTTTGGGGCAATAGCTGAAATGGCTTGAGGGGAGAGAGGGAGGGAGGGAGGGAGGGAGGGAGGGAGAGAGAGAGAGAGAGAGAGAGAGAGAGAGAGAGAGAGAGAGAGAGAGAGAGAGAGAGAGAGAGAGAGAGAGAGAGAGAGAAAACGAGGGAGAACAGGGAGCACACTGTGGGATAGTAAACCAGACCGGCTAATGTTCCCATTGTTGGGGTTTTTATGAATGGTTCTTGGAATGCTGCTTTGGAAGGGAGTTTAGCATCATGGGTTCCCTTTGTGTCTCTTTTCCCTTTGCAGAATGTCACTCCTCCTGCAGAACCTGCCAGGGCAGAGGACCCTTCTCCTGTTCTTCATGTGACACTGATCTCGTCCTGTCCCACCTTGGCACCTGCAGTGCCACCTGCTTCCCAGGGCACTATCTCGATGATAACCGTGCTTGTCAACGTAGGTTTTCCAAAATGAATTTTCTTTCTTTTCCTGGTCTTCTGGGGACATCAAAGGAAATATTAAGCCATTGCTTTCGTATTCTCACATAGTAGCCTTCATTTTTATAAAAGGAAGAAAATTAATCTACAAAGGTATATGGATGCCATTAGCAGATTATAACTCAGATATCAGCTTAATTGGAGGTGCTGGGTTGGGGATCTCTGTAAGTACCAGCTGTGTGATCTTGGGCTAGTTATTTAACCTCTCTGTTCTCTAGTTATCTCACTTAAAAAATAAAACTATTAGCCTTGTTCATCTTATGGTTTCTCTCAGCAAGTCAGTTCCAAGATCCTGAGCAGAGAGTAAATCTCATTCTAGTTCACAATCAGTGACCTCAGTACTTCTCTGGATTCAATTTGCTTCAACATGTATTTGTTGAATATTGACAATGTGTAAGACTTGACATGCTACAAAGCATTTTGTTTCTACCCAAACAGTAGTCATTTTGTCTTGCATGAGGGTTACTTGTATAGATGTCTTATTTTTCAAATAAGTCACAGTATGATTAATTACCTGAGTCAGGCAAAAGAAAGAGTTAGGATAAATTAGGGAAAGGACAAATCTGAGTGAAAAAAAAATTAAGTAATCCTTCATAGATGAAGGAACATTTCTGAGATAGGCGAAAGTGGCTTACTTTATTTCAATCACTAAAGTGTCGTTTGCAAAAATATTTTTGTGGTACTTTCTCATTTTGAAAATGACAGTTAACAAATACAGTGCTGATATTTCAATTTTATATCCTAGGAAGTGCCGTGCTGAAGGGATTATAGAGCAGTGGTTGGGAGGGTGGGCTCTAGAGTCAGGAGACTGAAGTTCAAATCTTACCTGCCACTTACTAGTTTGTGACCATGGGCAAGTGAATTAACCACCAGGTATCAGTTTCTTTTTCTATCAAAGGGGGATTATAATATCCCCTACATCTAATGTTATTGCACTTCGCACAGACCCCAGCAGAGAATAAGCTTTTGGTATAGCCAAGGTTGATGTTGTTATCTTTATCATCAGCATCGCTTGGAATGAGAGGCAAATCAAGCAGTAAAAGATATTTATATTTTATGGGTTGAAAGATGTTGCTGTTAGTTTATTGAGATGTTTGCAAGGGTTTGCACTTGAAATGAATTTATATGGAACTCACAATTTTGCATCATTTGTGGAGATACCAGACATAAAAAAATCCTTTTTGGGCCGATAAAAAGATTTCTTTACTTTTATAATAAAAAACTTAGCTTGGTATAAATCAACTATCTGTTAGAACCTGCAGATTTTGTAACACAAGAGACATGAATGAAATACTCGCATGTTCTATTCAAGACCAAGAGGCTGTTGGTAGAGAAATAGTGACTTAGATTTATCAGGCTCTTCACAGCAGTGGAATCACAGAAATAAAAGTTCAAAAGAAAAATAGAATACTTTATATAGGGTATAGGTGACAAGAATATGTTGCATTGAAATATTTTTCTTCTGGGAAGTTTTTGCCTTGGTGCAGCGTGATCTCTGCAACTAATGTATTTGCCATGATAGATACCACGTAAATAGGATTTTATAGACTTTCTGTTAAATTAAGAATCTCCTAACATTAGTCCTTTGCTAAAGTTTAAGTTCCATTCTTTCTAAGATTGAATAAAGCATGCCCCCACATTGGGATAGTTCAGTTGTTAGTATGTAAAAATAATCAACAATGTCCCTTTCTAATGCTCATCATTATAGACAATTATAGGCCTGACAATTTTAGAAATTGTGCAGTAAAGGACTTTTAAGGAAATGTAATCAGTATAAAGAAGAGGCATTCGTAAACCATTTTATACAAGAAAGTAAGAGCTGCAGAGCTCTCTATATTCAGGTTATGGAAACTTAGAAATTACACACTGAACTCTAAAACTTAAGAATGACCAGCTGAGGCAGGAACTTTTAAAAAGAGCTGATAGATGAGGTTCTTAGCACTTGAAACTGTAGTGCTTTGGAAAAGGAGGAGAGCGCCAGGGCTACTCTAGCAAACCTTGCACCCAATGCAGAGATTCTTTCCTCTCCCCCTCACTGACTTCTACACATGAGGAAGGAATGAGGGTCCATTGGTGAGGGGTGGGGGATGGGGTGGTGTGGGGAAAGGTAGTTGGTAGTTCTTTCTCATCTGCCCTGAAATCCTCCCTCTCCCATAGCAATAGAGAGTAAGTCTCCTCCATCTTTCACATGATTACCTTCAAAAATTTCAAATTGTCACCTCCCACTTGGACTTTTCTGCTCCAGGCAGAGCTGGAGCCAATGGAATATTTAAGCAGAAATGGGTGACCATCTTTCAGAGCTGCAGTAGAAAACAAGTCTAGTTAAGAGGGAGAATGGACTTCATAAACTGTGAGGTCCCTTCCTCCTCAATGAACTATGGTTAAAGTACGTCCCTGATTCCCTCACTGGTTTCTGGTCCACTCATCTCCTTCACTGTCCTCTTGGCACTTTTTGTGGGGTCAGTGACCTCAGAGAACTGCACCTGCTACTCCAGATGTGATCGCACCAACATGACTGCAATAGGAACAATGTGACGTGAATATCATAGGATGGAGAAAATGGTCCTTACCCGCATTCCTCTGAAGATGGAAGCTGAGAATCTAAGGGGCTTTGGTATTTGCAGAACTGCTCTGAGTGAGATAAGGTCATTTGCAGATTGCCTTGTAGAGGGATGAGAGGTTAGGTGAGAGAGGAAGAAGGGTTCAGGTAGAAATGGTGAAAGCCCTGTGCTCCTCAATGTGACACTATTGCATCCCTCCAAATCTTCTTTTAATGTTTCAAAATGCTCAAGGTGAATCCATTCGTTTTAGAAGTCAGGGAAGGAGCTGAATTGTGTATTGAGGTGCCAAAGGGAAGTGAAAGATTGCATAGAAGGATGCAAGAAGACAGGGGCAGACAGAAGCTCGAGGAAGTAAACTACAGGAGACTCAGCTGGCAGGACAGGGCATGGACTGACTGGCTGAGGAACTGGCGTTTGAGCGTCATTTTGCAGCTCCGTGTCAAGCAGGGGGTCCAGCTGAAATTTAGGTTACATGAAGGCTCTACAGCTTAAGACTGTGGTAGTTTCTTTAGTCATCATATCACACTTTTAGTAAGCTTTTAATCAACTAAAATTCTTCGATTGTTTTTTATAGGATTTGCTGTCTAGGGTTTTCCACATCCTCTATTTATGTAATTGGCTATAGACTATAAATGCAGGACTTATAGTTTTGCTTATTTCATCTGATTACTTTTAGTTTATTGCTTCAACTGGCTAAAGTAAGTTTGAGTTGTTATTCTTTCAGCAGGTGAAACTTAACTGTGTTTTTTCTGTGTAGGTATATATGATATATTTAATTATCATTAGATAATATCTTTGTTTTCATTAAAGTCATTAATAAAAATATTGAACAAGTAAAAATTAAGGCTTTATAATAATTTCTACTAGACATTTCTTTTACCAATTACAAAGATTTACTGATCACTTTCTGAGTATGCATTTCAACCATCTTCAAAACCACCTACAACTATTAGGCCCCACTTTATTTTTGTATTCACAAGTTTATCTTTGACAAAGGGAACTTTGTCAAACCCTTTGCCAGAATTAATATATACCATGTGTAGAAATCTTAAAAAAAAAAAAGATAAAAATTTAGGCTCATGCAAGTTTCTAACAATTAAAATATTCTTTTCTAATTCCCAAACTATCTGAAAACCCAGCCTAGAATTTTTCTAGGACCTTTAATTACAAATCTATATACTCTAATGAAAATTTTTCACCAATGGCTTTTCTTACAGGTGAAACAAGAGGATATTTTTTATTATTATTGTTTTGCAGGGAAGTCATTTTCCTGCAATGGCCTCATGCTTTGATATCCCACAGATCTAAAACTCACACGATCGCTATGTAGACCTTTCTTTTGACCCATACTTAGAGAAGATTTCAGAATAAGGCAGAGATGCTAGTGTTTGAGCATAGATCATTACAATATCTGGCTTCTTTCATTTATGTAGTAAATGTTTATTGAATACCTACAAAGGGATGGATAACCAGCCAGATGCTAGGACTATCTCAAGGAACAAAATGAACCTGGTCTTTGCTTTCATGAAGCTTACAGCTTAAAGGATACAGATGTTAGTTAATCACTTAAATGAAAATTGTTATGTATGGCATGAAAGAAATGTACAGGGTGTTTATAAGAGCAGTAACTGGGAGACCTGCTTTCGACTGAAGAGTCCGGGAAGGCCTTGAAGAAGAGACTGAAGAATGAGTGAGAGTTAAACACAAAAGAGTTGGAGTTTATATTGAGAAGATTCAAATATGTGTGTTAAAATTTCTAGGTGGAAAGAATAAAGAGAATGATGGAGGAGCACTGTTTGCAGAAATGAAGGCTGGAAATTTTCCAGGGTTGAAGAAAAATATGAGTTCATAGATTAAATTGACCTCTGAAGCCTGAGCAGTATGAATAAAAAATCATTCTGGTGGATACATGGAAAATAAATTGCAAGAGGATCGAACTGTATGTGGGAAGACCAGTTAAGAAGCTATAGTAGTAGTCCAGCAAGAGACGATGATGGCTTGGATGTATTGAGGGCATTTGTGGATATGGAAAAATGCAAAAAGTTCTGAGAGTTCTATAGGAGAGGTCAAGTAAATAGGACCCAGTGAGTGATTGGATTAGCAGTGAGAAAAAGAAGGGTGCCAAAATAGACTCCCAGGTTTCTAGCATGAATAGATGAGTAGATGGAGAAATGCCAGTTACTAAATTAGGTAGGGAAGGCGAGGGTATAATCAGATTTGGGGGTCATCCCTGAGTGCCTGAATTAAGTGGCTGCTAAGAATCACAACTGGGAAAATCAATAAACCAGGTCACCTGTAAATCCTTTGTATCTTAATACAGTAAAACCTTGGATTGTGAGTAAGTTGTTTTGCGAGTGTTCTGCAAGATGAGCAAACGTTTCTAATACATTTTAACTTTGTGAAGGAGCGATGTCTTGCAATATGAGTAGCTTGTTTCCAGAGCAAATTATGCTCACAAACCAAGGTATTACTGTATATGGAATTTCCTGAGCTTCACAATAAACGTGATGCCTAATTTTAATCTTGGCATCACATAAAAATCTGATTCTACATCATAAACTATAGGTAGCTTGATTCCTTAATACATGACATTGAAACAAAACTCTGGACCATCATTCCAGAGATCTTGGAGTAAGTATAAATTCTGTTGTTGAATCTCAAGGCAATTTGGATGTTGGCTTTCCATTCTTGCATTTATAATTCACCTTTTCTAGAAAGTAAGATTACCCCATTTTATTTTGGAAAAAAATACTAACATTTTTCGTTCCTGTTGATCACGGGGAGGGTTATGAGCCATAATAAAAGAACAGGGGTTGGAGCAGAGCTTTGTTTATTCACAACGCCTGTCTCCATTTGATCAGTGCTTCAGTATTTGCAATTGTAATCACCTGGTCATTTTCTTTTACTATCTGCTCAGCATGCAACACCCATTGTGGAAGCTGTGATTCACAGGCCAGCTGTACCTCCTGCCGAGATCCAAAGAAGGTCCTGCTCTTTGGGGAATGTCAATATGAGACTTGTGCCCCACAATACTATCTTGACGTCTCCACCAAGACATGCAAAGGTAAAGCTCTTCTTGAATTGTACAGCAATTGTTTTTACTCAGTGATACCCCTTTGCTATAGATGTCCAACCCTCCACATTGGGAATGTACTGTCATCATACATTTATACCTTCTCTGATGGTAGCAGGAAGTCATTATGCATGTATGTTTCATTTATTCATTCGTTCATTTATATGTTAAACAAATATTTTTGAGTACCTACTATGTGCCAGAAACTGTGCAAGAAAGTATTGGTAACTAGACTGGGCAGGCAAACTGGAAACCCTCAGGTTGTATTTGGCTCACCTAATAGTCCAGTGTTTTAAACTTTTTAATATTTGCCTTTTAAAAAATCAGAAAATTTCACATACAAAAATTGAGATTTCCAATTCCTTTTGAAAAAGTCAGGAGATCTGGCAATACTGGGTTTGCATTTCCACCATGCAACAGTAGGTAGAAGATGAGTAGCTGCTGCTTTTGTTGGATAGAGCAGAATCTCTTAAGGTCATTCCCTATTCTACCACACCAGGCCTATTTCAAAGATTTATGTTATCTTCCTGAGCCCTGTAGGCACCTGCATTTACAACTCTACGTTACTAGGCTGTGCTTAATGAGGCTAGGAGTTGTCTGTGATTTGGTCATCTCTGCTTAACATACTTAAATGAGTGAAGACATAGTCCCTGTCCTCGAGGAGTTTATAAGGAGGTCATATCAAAAACCAAATGCCTTTTTTCTTGTTCTCCAGTGGTTGGAATTCTTGGTGCTTTTGTTCTTTGAATGGCAGTGCTCAGCCAGGGGAAAAGCAATTAAACGATAGATTTTTCCTTGCTCCTGTTCCATTTCCCTTCTCCATTCCTCCATTCCACTTTCCCTCCACCTCTCCAGTTCTGCCAGGGAAGCTAGGGCTCAGATATAGAGGTCAAACATCTGTCAAAATAAACTTAGGATACTTTAAGCCTTTGCAAAATTGCACACTTTCCATTCCAAGAAATTCCACTTGGTTGTCAACTTAGGTGGTCTGCTGTGCTCAAGACCACAGAAGCTTTTCTGTGTTTTTCCCTTTTAGCCAGTGGTTGTTAGCTTGTGGTGAAAAATGAGATTATCACAAATCCTCCCTGTTGTAAATGATTTCATAACCATGCTGGCAGTTTTCAAGGCTCTGTTTTAGTCATGTTCCCTCAGGACTGATTTAACCAAATAAATAAGTGAGATTAACTTTATAAATCTTCTTGGAAGCACGTGTACTGTCTTGCGTATTTACCTGCTTCCTTGGGACTTACAAATATTATATCAAGGAAGAGAGAAAGCTGACTAATGAGATGTTTCCCCAGCTTCTTAGCAGGAAAGGAAGGTGGGGGCATGGCAGCACCGAGTGGAGATATTTCTCCAAGATCAACAGTTCAGCAGCAAACATTTATGAGGCTGTCACTACGTGCCAGGCACTGTGCTAAGTTCTTTACATTCATCATTTCATTTAATCTTCACACTAGCCTTATGCAATAGGTACTATTCTTATCTCCGTTTTACAGATAAGGAAACCCAGGCTTAAAAAGTTTAAGGAAGGTGTGTAAGATATGCAGATATAAAGTGTCAAAGCCATGACTTGCATACAGACTTACCTGACTTCAAAACCCAAGTACTTAACCATGCCATCTTGTCCCATCTTCCACGTGTAAAGGATTTGCCTCACCAGCTAGAGCTTTGGTTTCAAACATGAGTTTTCTGACTGCATCTGAACTGCCTGCACCATTAAAAACAAGAAGCAACATGTGCCCCAGTCCCTGAGGCTGACTCAGTAGTTCTGATGTTAGCCTGATCAGCTCAATTTCTAACAATCCCCCTGGATTATTTGGGTGCACATCTAAGCCTGAGGCCCACTAGAATGTAAGCTCCTTGAGGGCAGGGTCTATGCCTACCACTTTATCCCCCACTCAGTACTGTGCATCCTGTAGGTGCTTGTTGAGTGAATGAACATGGAAACCAGCCAGGTCTTCTGTTCTACATGAGAGCTTGTTGCTTCAGTAAGCCCTTTCTTTCTGGACAGTTCCTTTATGCCCTATTAAATTCTACCATTGTCAGTTCTTTCTGTCGTGTTGGTCAGCACCTGATTTTTGAGAAGTAGAGAGTCACGCAGCTGCTGTCAGTAGAGGCAGCAGATGCATTCTTAGTTAACGCTCTGACATCCTTCACCTTTCAAGTATTTGGAGGAAGTCCAATTAGGTTTGTGGAGCAAATTGGCCACTCCCTAGAGCAGGCTTTGCAAGAAGACTCCATGGCTCAGGATTAAAGAACTCTGGGGCCCATGGAATAAGACCAAGTTGATCTGGCTCCTGGGCAGCCCCACTGACAAGCAGGCTCTGTAGGAGAGCAGAACGATCCTTGTACATGCTCATGTTTGACATAATTAGGAAACAGCAAACCTCAGAGAGACGGTCAGGCTACTACAAGCAGAATCTCCTTAGAGCTCACTTATCTGGCATCTCATCGCTTACGTGGACTGTCTTTCTAGAGTGTGACTGGAGTTGCAATGCGTGCAGCGGGCCTCTGGGGACAGACTGCCTGCAGTGCATGGATGGCTACGTTCTCCAGGACGGGGCCTGCGTGGAACAGTGCGCACCATCCTTTTACCGGGACATGGGCTTCTGCAGGAGTAAGTGTCCTGAGCCCCAGCTCTGGACTCATCCCAGCGTCAGCCTCCTCTGACTTTACTTTTCTGAGAAGGAGCCTGGGCAAGTTTCAGTTCTGGCTTCTTATCTAATTTCTGGTTTCTTTCCTAAGAGTTTTTCTTTGGGGTAATCATAATGTTTCTCTTTTCTTCTCCCATGCCCAAATACAACATTTGCTAAAATTTAAGGTCATTATGGGAATTGGGGGGGCGGGGGGTTATATGGCCACACCAACAGGTATGTTTTGACCATTGCTTTTGGATTTCCTGAAACATTGAACAGTCCTGTGCTCCAGATAGAGAGGTCTGTATACTCTGGTCACCTGAGCACATGGAAAGACCACATGATTCCACCATCTGCCTCCCAACCCTTTATATACCTTATATCTTATGATTGCCTTTCTCTGGCCCAGTACCCGCTTCACCCTCAATTTAGCATCACAAAATCTTTAGACCCTGCAGTGCAAAGTGCATAGACAGCATTCCTGGGAGCATTCTTGAGAGACTCTGATAACTGAATGGGTGAGTCAGGAAAAATTGACACTCCAGCAAAAGCACTACAGAGAGCCAAAAACTAGGTAATGATGATAATGGCTGATATCTGTCAATTTCTAGTTTGCCTAGTATTTGCCATTATATAATTTGATCTTTGCCCAGGGAGCTGGCTGGACAGCATGTCTGCTCCCATTTTATGGGTGAGAACCCTGCAGCCTACAGAAGTGGAGTGACTAGTTTTGTTACCCAGCTGTACATACAATAGTCACAACCGGGAGCCTGGTACTGACTCCCAGCCTGCTGCCTCACCCAGCACACCAGCTTGTACTGCTCATCGTTTCTATCACCGCCTCTCCGTGAGGGCCAGGAGTCCTGCAAAGCCACACACATTCTTGTCGACTTATGTCTTTCAGGCTGTGACAGCCACTGTCTGCAGTGCCAAGGCCCCCATGAGTGCACCCGCTGTGAAGAGCCGTTTCTCCTCTTGAAAGCCCAGTGTGTCCAGGAGTGTGGGAAGGGATACTTTGCAGATCATGCAAATCGCAAATGCACAGGTAACTTGGAAACTGCTGAATTCTCTGGTAGAAGTGAGGGCAGCAAGCAAGTCAGGTGTGCTGATCCTTAGGTAACCAAAGAGAATCAGAATTAGAAACAGAATGAATGCCCAGAGACCTTGGCCTAAGTAATTGATGGCTTCCCACACACATCTGCCAATTGCTAGTTAAATAGAATATAGACGTGCAGGCCAGTAATTCTCTTGCACAAATCAATATTGTCCCTAAAGGTCTTTACAGAAATGAAGCCACTATTTTATGTAATGTAAAGCTTATATTGAACTAAGGTACAGAACCCATTAAAAGTGGATCATCCCTGTTGATATGGGCACAGAATTTTCAGTGTGTAGACTACATTACCAGTGACCCTGATATTGCTGTAATATTCTTAAAAAGTAGGATTTTTGGGGACAATTGAGTGAGATACATTGACCTTTTATTATGAAACTAAAGTTAAACCCAAAGTCTTAACTTCCTTGTCCATTGAGTTATTCATGAGAATTTCTTCAGTGTGTTCTCATCATTTCTGTCAAAAGTTGGTACTGTGTACCCCACTTTAAAGAATACTTGACATTTAATAATAATGCCATTACCTCGGCATGGCATTTTACATTTTGCCAAATTTCTTTCATCTGCATTATCTCATTTAATATTCACATTGAACTGGTAAAATATGGCAGACACTATGAATCCTGTTTTGCAAGTTAAAAAAAAAAAGAGGCTTAAAATTATTAACCAAGGGCAACATAAAATCAGATATTAGACCCCAATGTTTTTTATTCTATTCCAGGGCCTTTAAACTATACCGTGCTGCCTCTCTCTAACAAAATCGCAATTATGGAAGCAGAAAAATTAGGCAGTGAACACTCAATTTATAGAAGATTATTAACTTGACCCAAAGAAATAACCTATGGTCCTTTAAACAGCTTGCTTTCCGCATGCACTTCAAATAATACTAATAAAAATAATAGGGGCGGTCGGTTAGCTCAGTTGGTTAGAGCGCAGTGCTCATAACACCAAGGTTGCCAGTTCAATCTTGGCATGGGCCGCTGAGCTGCGCCCTCCACAACTAGATTGAAACAACTACTTGACTTGGAGCTGATGGGTCCTGAAAAAAAACACACTGTCCCCCAATAAATAATAATAATAATAATAATAATAATAATAATAGTAACAGCGATATTATAGTAGTAGTGTGATTGAGTCCTTTGTGTGCCAGGCACTGTTCTAGTCACAACATATTACAACACAAGTGATCTTCTCAACAATCATTTGCATTAGGTGCTATTAATTTCCCCATTATTAAGACAAGAGAATCACACCAGAGATTGATAAAGGAACTTGCCCACATTTGACAGCTGGTAGGTGATAGAGGAGGAACAGTACCCAGAAAGGGCCTATGCTCTTGATGACTATAAACTGCCTCCCTTACAAGTCACTATGGTTAACTTTGTAAATAATTCATTAATGGGAAACATTTTCAGATCATACTGTATAAAGCAAATGTGCTTCTCCCTATTTAGTTTTCCTTCCAAGGGGCGATCAGTTGTCTATGAAATTCTTTAGGGGCCGGCTGAGTGGCGCATTGGTTAAGATCTGACTTGGGATGCCAGCTCTGAGCAGCAGGGCCCTGGTTCAGATCCCACATGAGATCCAGTGACACTGCGTCCTTTACAGCTAAGATGGTGAACAACAGCTCAACTTGGAGCTGGGCTGCTGTGAGTCACCAGCAATGGTGTAGTCTGCGGTGAGGCTGCAGTGGGCTGCCATAAGCTACCGTGTGTGGCCAGCAGCCAGTGTGAGCGGCCAGCAGCCAGTGTGAGCTGCCAAGAGCCACTGTGAGCAGCTGTCCAGAGACTGGTGACCGATCTGCCTCATCTGGGAAGAGCTCAATGATAATACCAACATGGGCCAGTGAAGCGACATCCTCCACAACTAGACTGAAGAACAAAAGGACAGCAACTTGTCTGTTTCCCTTCCCCCGATTCCCCAGCGCTGTTCCCTTCCCCAAATTCCCCAATAAAATCTTAAAAAAAAAAAAAGATTCTTTAGGAAACTATTGGAATTCTCTTTTGCTGCAGTTGGGGGGTCCTGTGTCGCTTGTGCTTGCGTTCGCTATTTCTTTATCCCTGGTGGCCTTCGCTGGATGCCTGTGCCTTTGTGGTGCCTCATTTAGTGTGTTTTCTCTTCCGTAGCCTGCCCTCGGGGGTGTTTGCAGTGCAGCCGCAGGGACAGATGTCACCTCTGTGACCATGGGTTCTTTCTGAAGAGTGGCCTTTGTGTAGCCAACTGCATTCCTGGCTTTTCTCCCCACTCCTCTAATGAAACGTGTGCTGGTAAGTGCTTCTTCTCTGGTAGTCTGATGAATTCACCTGTGATTTCTCCATGCAAAGGCTGATTTTGCACATACAACTGGCTTACATGTTATAAAATGCAGGATTCCCGCTCTGGGGAAAACCCTGGTGCTGCTAGGAATTGGGGACTCTTTAGAAAACATAGAAGATTGGGGAAACTCTACTTCTAAGATTTATGTAGGGGAAAAAGAAGCAATCTGTGCTTTAAAGGTCACAACTTTCAGATCAGAAATTTGGCATAAAACTTAATTATGTTCCTGAATGACAACCATGTTGTAGAAAATTACATATATACTGATAGATATAATTTTTTTATGTTTAGTGCTCGCTTCGGCAGCACATATACTAAAATTTTTTTATGTTTATATAAACTTGTTGAGTTAATTATGCCAGGGTGCAATGATGCATCCTTTGTGCGCATGCTGGAGATAAAGGATAAATTATAAATACATAAGAGATGGTGTGAGGAGCCTGCCCCATCAGGATCACACATTTGAAATAAATGGATTTCAAGCCACAGTTTGTCATTAAGAATAAGATAACAAGTTAAAGGAATGGAGTTAGTCTTGTCCAGCACATGGATACAATGGATACTTCACTTTAAACAACAAAGAGAAGCAAATTTAACTTTAGTATTAATTTTGACTCCCACAGCTTTTATAGGGGAATGAAGCTATTATAGCTGAACATTCCTTGGCTTTTGAGTGTCCTTCATCAATAATATAAGGCATATTTTAACACCTGCAGTCAATCATATTTTCCATCTCTATATTTCTGATCTCTAAAGATGTTAAGACTTCATATGGGAGAAAATATCTTTGGCTTATTTTATTGGGATCCTTCTGAAAGCCCCAAGTATATGAGAGTCAGCTTATTTCTCTTGGAACATAATACAAGGCAATGTGCAAAAATTAATTCCACTTTTATTAGTGCAATCATACAGTAGAAATAGTCCCCCTGAAACTTGACATTCCCAAACTGTCCTGTCTGACCTACTGAAAAATAAAACACTACCAATTCAACTCCAAGCAAAACAACTTGCAGGAAACGGAATGAATTCCACATCATGGTCGGAAATGAAATCTTAATTTATCCATTAGATGTTTCCTATGGACAAAGATTGTAAACTTTTAAAGCAAAGTGTATATATTTCACATGAATTCTGAATATAAGCCATTGATAATCCTACTGCACTGTAGATTAACTGGTACTGTTCTAGAATTGGTATCACACACTTGCCTCTTTTCTTGCTCTTGGTGGGTCTGAGGTCAGATACAAAAGATTTATTAGAATAAGTCTGTGGTTCTTAAACCTGGAGTCCATTAGGATTACCTAGGGAGCTTGTAAAATCACCAAGACCCCACCCAGAACACGTAAGTCACAATCTCTGGCAGTGGAACCCAAGTATCAGTATTGTTTTAGAAGATCCTTTGATGATGGTGATGATGATGATGATGATGGTGATGATGATGGTTGAGATATAATTGCAGTACCATAAAATTCACCCTTTAAAGTATACAATTCAGTAGTGTTTAGTATATTCACAAAGTTATGCTGCCATCACCACTATCTAATTTTAGGACATTTTACTCATCCTAAAAAGAAAGCCAATACCCATTAGCAGTGTGTCCCCACTGCCCCCTCACCCCAGCCCCTGGCAACCACAGACTACTTTGTTTTTGTGGAGTCTCCTATGCTAGACATTTCACATAAATGCAGTCATACCAACGTGTAGCCTTTTATGTCTGGCTTCTTTCACTTGACATAATGTTTTCAAGTTTCCTGCATGTTGTAATGTGTATCAGTATGCCATTTCTTTTTATGCTCCAATAACATTCCATTGTATGGACAGACCACATTTTATTTATCCATTCATCAGCTGGTGGACATTTGGGTTGTTTCCACTTTTAGGCTGTTATGAATAATGCTGCTATGAGCATTCATGTATAACTTTTTGTGTGGATATATGTTTTAATGCTCTTGGGAGTAGAATTGCTGGGTCATATGGTAGCTGGGTATTTAATTGTCTGAGGAACTGTCAGACTGTTTTCCCAAGTGCTGCACCATTTTACATTCCTCCCAGCAATGTATGAGGGTTCCAATTGCTCCACATCCTCAGGAACAGGTTTTATTGTCTTTCCTAGTGGGTGTGAAGTGATATCCCATTGTGGTTTTAATTTGCTTTTCCCTGATTGCTAATGATGTTGAGTAGTACCTTTTCCTGTGCTTTCTGGCCTTTTTATATCTTCTTTGGGGAAATGCTTATTTAAAATTCTTTGTCTAATTTTAAATTGGGTTATTTGTCTTTTACTGTGTTGTAAGAGTTCTTTATGTGTTCTGGACTGAAGCCCCTTTTCAGATATATGATTTGCAAATATTTTCTCCCATTCTGCGGGTTGTCTTTTCACTTTCTTGCCAATGTCCTCTGAAGCACAAATTTTTCATTTTAATGATGTCTAACTTACCTATTTTTCTTTTGTCACTTGTGCTTTTGGTTTTATTTCTAAGAAAGCATTGCCTAATTCAAGATCACAAAGATTTACTTCCTGTTTTCTTCTAGGCATTTTATAGTTTAACATTGAGATTCTATGTTATTCTCATGTGCACCCAGTGTGAGAACTGCTGGATTAGAGGGAAGCTTATTGTGTACAGTAACCTAGGGGCTCATCCTTGTAGCTCTCAATGAACATTATAAGCCTATTTCTTAAAATAACAACAAAAACTAATTACTGAATTACCAAGCCTGACCTTTGGATTCGTGTTTTTCCAGGCAAAATACACACTCCAGGTCTTCATGTAAATGGTTCCCTCATCCTTGCAATTGGTTCAATGAAGCCACTGGATTTTTCCCTCCTGAATGTCCAAGACCAAGATGGCAGGGTTGAAGACCTCCTGTTTCATGTTGTGAGCACCCCCACCAATGGTCAGCTAGTGCTCTCCAGGAACGGAAAAGAAGTTCAGCTCGACAAGGCTGGCCATTTTAGCTGGAAAGATGTGAATGAGAAAAAAGTGCGTTTTGTGCATAGCAAAGAAAAACCCAGGTGACTCAGTGTTCTGTTGCTTTCCTCCTGCCTCCTCTGTACCAGCGCTTTACACCTGCCCCCCTCCCCACCACTCCCCCTTTCTCAATAGCTCTCCCTGCTCTTCTGGGGAAGATCGATACTCCACAAATGCCAAATGCTTTCAGCTGCCTGTCATCATTTCACTGTAATTGCTCAGAGAGTGTGCTTCTGTTAGAGGCATTTTCATTTTATCACATAATTATGGGTAATTCGCTGATGTGACAGGGAAGTTTCTGGAACAGTTACCCAGTGTTTTGGCCTTGCAGAAACAAAACCGGTTATACGCCCAGATGCTACAGCTGCTTCTTCGACATTAGGGTAATACACTGGGAGGAAGGAGTGACTAGCGGAAGGAGCACACACGTTTCAAGGTGTTGTATGGCTCCGAGAATTGCAGAGCTGGAAGGACAATCAGAGTCCCAGTTAACTTTTTATTATCCACTTTATGGGATTAATTGTGGTTAATTTTTAATCCTGATCCAGTTTTCCGCGGATGTCTAGCACACTTCTGGCTGTCTTCCTCACCCCAGCTGACATATGCTTCAGGAATGCAATTGAATGTTAACATGAGCCCAAGCAATACAGCTGTGTAATTAGCAGAGTAGACCTACTAAACAGAAATCAAAGACTGCACCCCAAAGATGAGCCTCTTGGATTATCCTTCACCCTGTGCTGCTTCATTAGTGCAGATAATGCAGAGCAGACTGTGTAAACAAAGAGTAGATCCCCATGAAACAGCGATAAGGACACAGTGAATATGTTCTACCGTCACCACTAAACTTGAGATTGTTTTTAAGGGTTGGGCTAGGAGACAGGTGGGGAGAAAGGTAAATGGTACTTGCTCTATTTGCAGTTCAAAGCTGGTGAGCCAGTAACCTCAAAAGACCATCTTATAGGAATAAAAGCAGCTCACATTCACTGAGTGCTAACTATGAGCCAGGTACTGTCTGCAGCACTTTAAGTGAATTACGACTGTTTATGTTCCCAACCTCCAGATAGAGAAACTGAGCTCTTGAGAGTGTAAGTAATCTTGCCCCAGGCCTTGCAGCCTGTGAGCACAGAGCAGAGACTCTAACTCAAGGCTCTATGGTTCCACAGCCCATGCCTTTAGCCACTGTGATTTCTGACTTCTTAGTAATAGTAAGAATAATGGGCATGCTTCCATCCTCAAGGGACATACAGAAGTATTGCTACAGATGAACTTAAAACTCTGGTGTTTGATGACTTAGAATCATTCTTCAAACTCATGCTCCATCTCCTGCATTCATTTGGCTGCTAGTATAGTTCTTAAGTGTTTGCATCTCTCTCTCTCCCTCTCTCTCTCTCTCTCTCTCTCTCTC